CCCAAAGGCCAGACAGGAGGAGCCTCCCAACGGTCCAGGCCAGGAGGACCACTGCCTTAGGCCCACTGAGAGAGCAGGCCCAGGCGGGATCACCCTGGTACCACCACTCCTCACTCGTGGTTCACCTCACTGTAGAAGGTCATAAATGCCTCCTCCGTGCTGCCTCCGCCACCCGAAGCCCCGCTCTCTCCTGGAGCCGCCATTTCCCCGGCCAGCCACCACGTGACTCTCCTGCGCAGGCGCTGTCTCACGTAATTCTTACAGGCCCACCTCCCTAGCCCCGCCTCCTCCCTTGAGATTTTTAAAGAACTCGCAGCCCAGCCAGACACCTCTAATCTAAATAGGCTCTTTTTTAAGTTGAGGTAAACCACATGACATACGATTAACCATTTTAAAATGCACAATTCAATGGCCTTTAGTATATTCAGTGTTATGCAACCACTACCTCTATCTAGTTCTAAAACAGTTTTATCACCCCAAAAGGACACTTGGCACAAATTAAGCAGTTCCTCCCCTTTCCCCTACTTCCCAACCCCTGACAACCAATCTGTGTTCTGTCCCTATGGATTTACCTATTCTGGACATTTCCTATAAATGCAATGGAGTGGCACTTAAACATAATCTAAAAACAAAATTATTATCACTAGGTAGTGGGCTTATAAATTATTATTATGTCTATCTTTCTGCTTTTATGTTTTTCCAAGTTTCCTGCAATGAACATTTGAAAACGTGCCCCGCAGGAACCCTTCCCATTTAAGTCATACAAACCAAGGCTGGTACTTTTCCAACCAAAAGGTAATTAATAAAAACTGTTCTACAATTTCATAGAAAGCAAAGAAGGTCGTTTTATAATTATGAATAAAATAATCTGGCTCAACCCTTTCGTCTAAAGGAGAAACAACTGAACCCAGAGAGAGAAAATGATGCAGACGGAGGTTATAAACTACTATTTTCATGTTCACATTTGTTAGATGGTTGAAGAAAGGTCACGGCAAAGCCTTCCTTAAACTCCTACCCATGCTTTTCTCCACTTCATTGCACCACATTGGCAAAAGTCCAGTTATCAAGCCCATTCGATAATATATTAATGCATTTTACAGATCTTCAGTGCCTACTAGATCAAGGCTGATAACTTCAGAAGGTAAAAAGTACAGAGAGATCAAACAAAGCAGGGAGCTATGATAGAATGACTAAGGAGGTCATGGAAGGTTTCTTTGGGGTGACATTTCAGCTAAGAGTTGAGAGTGAAACATCAATGCAACAAAAGAACACTGACACCTCTTAAGAGACCACATTCATGTACATATACAACTTAGCTAAGTCTGGGCATGCTGGACGTCGGCATCTGGGCATAGATATTCCTCATCCCAACCCCTATGTCATCTTATTGATCTTTTTTATCTTACTCTTATAGCATCTTATTGATGCTGGTGGTCCAGGAAAGGGAAGGCTTCCTTAGGGTGTTAAATAATAACAAGTTTAGGATTGGATTCGTGGTGTGGGGGTGGACGCCATGACTCATTCCATTGGCTTCTGACCCTCTCTTGCCCCTCCCTTACAACTTCCTCCATTATTTTCCAATCCTTTGGCCCCGAAGACCTTGTTAGGGGTTGGCTAAGAATGCGCGAGTCTCCTGCTCAGGATTCGCTGTGAACTAGAGGAACCCCGCCTTCTCCCTTCCATGATTGGGTCCTCCTCGGTTCATCCCGCCTCTCCATCTCAAGGATTGGCTGCCCCGCCATCAGAGCCGTTTGCGCCTACAGGGAGGCTGCGCCACCTGCGACTTGCGAGGTGCGGCACTGACAACTATGGCAGTTACGGCGCTGGCGGCGCGGTTGCGGCTGGGTGTGTGGGGCGTGAGGGCCACGCAAGCCCAAAGCTTCAGCTCCGGACGGGTATGCCCGCTACAGTGTCCGCCGCCTTGGCCCTGAGCGCGGATGCCGTATCCCCCTCCACACCTTCACCAATGTCCTTGTCTCTTCCCTCAGTCAGGGAATGTCGACTCCGGCGCGGGCTCAATCCGGGAGGCCGGTGGGGCCTTCGGGAAAAGAGAGCAGGCCGAAGAGGAACGATACTTCCGGTGAGGCCCACGCAGTCCCGAGTCCAGGCCTAGATTTCTCAGAGGGCCTTCCAGCCCTTCTTAAACGTCCACTTGCCCAACCCATCCTGCTCCGGCGCCGAGGGGCACCCCATCCCCCAGCAAAACTCCCGGGTCCGGGAACCTATTACACTCTCGCTCCCAGGCCCTGCTGAATAGTCCCAGGGCCCTCAGACCCAAACCATTTCCACTTGCGGGTCTCCAGGACTTTTGAACCACGGCTCACTTTTCCAGAATTATTTACTTGCAGACCCTTTGAGCCTGACTCCCTCCGCCCTCACCCACCCACCTCCTCTCTACGCTTTTTTCTCCTCCACAAGCCTTAGCTTTGCTAGCCCTGCACGAGTGGACTCCCTGTCTCTTCAGACCCTCTCAGCCACTTCTAGACCTCCAAGGGTCTCCAACTCGGCCAGAGAGAGTGTGTCATAGGAGCTGGGTTCAGCGGCTCCTGGTCGGAACTTCTCCTCCCCCACTTCCTGGTGACTCTCTCTGGCCCGGCTCCGCCCAGTTGGATAGATTTCTCTCACGCTTATGAGTATGGGTGGGCTGGGCCTCTTATCTACATTTTTTCCCTACCCAGAGTTATCTTTTACTGACTTCTTCACAGTGGGGAGCAGCATAGAACTAATCTCGCTTCTGCTCCTTTGGCCTATCTTTTCACTTCTGTACTCTCTTACTCACTCTTGAAAATTATCACTATGGCACCTGCCATACCAGAAAGCCAAAGGACAACCGTTAGAGACCATCTAATTGGGGTCTTACATTTTACAGTTAAGGAAAACTGAGGTCCAATGTGGCCGAATCGGCATTTGAAGTGTTTCTTATTGAGACCTAAATTGGACTGCCAAGTATTGCCCATGCAAGAAGCCCTTTCTTTTTGGCCTTTATAGTGGACTGTGCATTTCTCTAGGCAAAGAAAGGCCTATAAGATTAGAATAGATCGCAGATGTTTATCCTTTATACCTCTTTATCTATTCCACGCTTATTTTGCTCTTCCTCCCCCCCACCCCCCGCCCAAAAAAAAAAGGGATTCTGTCCTCTTGATTGTTCGTTTAATAAGGTATTAGGTACTTATGTCACACCTCTCTGGAGTTTTCTATTCTAAAGAGGACTCTGAAAGGAATAGCTCATGAATGCTGGAATTTCAGGCACTAACACCAGGAAAATTGAATCATCTTGGTTATCTAAAGATGGATGCATTTGAAGGTGGAGTATTCTGTCACTGGTGGGGCTTAAGGGTTAGAAAAAGATGACCAGCCAGACTCCCATAGGATTGAGACTGCTTTGCCTTAGGTAATACAGGTTTTACTTAGAAATCTCTTTGAGGTGAAGTATTAGGATTAAACCCAGAGTCATTGTGTACTTGTAGAGCACGGACTAAAGAACAGCTGGCAGCTTTGAAGAAACACCATGAAGACGAGATCGGTCATCATAGAAAAGAGATTGAGCGTCTGCAGAAAGAAATTGAACGGCACAAGCAGACTATCAAGAAACTAAAAGAGCATGATGATGATTAAGTACACACAGTTCCCCATTTAATGGCTATATATCATTGCCCATTTCTATGGAGACATAGTTCTGGTCTAATATCTGCTGCCAACAGACTATAATAAATTATCATCAGTGAACTGTGTCTAATGTCTTCTATCTGGAGAGGGGTAGGGGGACACACTACTGGACTGCTAAAATGAATTAGGGTATCTGTAATAGGGAGCTTGAAGAAAAAGCACAGCATAAGTGCTATACCACATGGGGGGACTTGGAGGAGGCAGGTGTGATACAGGGAAAAGCCCCTTTGCCTGTCTGACATTAGTCAGAGGTTCAGGGAAAGCTTGAAGGATAAACTCAATCCAAGGTCAAGACAGCCTGGAAAACAGGAATGATTCTTTTAAAAGATACAATTCAAGGCACCATCAGTCCATTTTGCATTTATAAAATGGATCAAAGAACTCTATATGATCTAGTTATCCTCATTCTAATTATCCTTATGTAGATCGAGTGAACTAGAATTAGAAATTATGTATTGCCTATGGTTATTCAGTAAATTGGAGTTGAGATTTGGCATTCAGATATTTTGACTCCTAATCCAAGTCTATTAATAGCAGAGAATCAGAATTATTTCTTAGGTTATATTTTGCTTTGCCAAGTATGTTCATGATTCAAATTAGATTTTTAAGGCCTTGTTTAAATTATACAAACTAGTTACATAACGTCTCTAGGCACTTTGGGCCATTAGCAAGACATCTTTCAATGTGACAGATCAATAGATCATTTGTTCCAGAATTACAATGAATCATGTTGCAAGACCCTATAAAGGATTTTAGGGCTGTTGAATGATAAAAGCTTATACAAGTCATTGACCCCGCCCTTGAAGACAAGACCCTGGCTGTGTCTAAAACTCTTGTCCATGATGCTGCTGATGGAAAGTTTATAGACAATCTCGAGGTGTGAATGCTGAAATTCAAGTGGCCAACAACAAAATGACTTCAAAGATGAAGTGCAAGAAATGATTGTGCTTAGTCATATGCTTTTTTTTGACTTTACAACAGTACAAAATTTGAAAAGTTTAAAAAATAATTGAACAAATAAAAACATCCGTTTTGCATTTTTGTGACCAAAAACATTTAAAACGCATATAAAATCCCCAAAGTTTATAGATGATAGTGTTTTTCGTGACATAATCAACAATTGCCTTATTAAGAATGATATTCCTGAGATGATTCCTTAATAAAGGTATACCATCTGCTCTTGATATTTTAATTGAAAATCAGTCTAATGATGATTGAGTAAAGCAAGCAAAAAATTGAAACTTTAAAGTGAAGATGAAGAATCATAAGCTTAACTTCTTAAAAAGGAAAAATGAATAATTTTTGGAGCAGCCTAATTTAAGACTCAAGTGTCCACAAGCCAGCAGAATCAGCAGCATCTGGGAACTTGTTAGAAATGCACATATCAGGCCCCATCACTGACCTGCTGAGTCTGAAGTGGGACCCAGCAAGCTACCCCAGGTGATTCTGATGTGCACTGAAGTTTGAGGACCATTGTACTATAGGTACAATAGTTTCTTGAAATTTGCTGACATTCTTGGGCATAGGCAGGTTATCAAGTATAACTTTAATATTGTTCTTAATATGAATATTATTTGAGGATTTAAAAAAATATGCTAAGAATTCTAAAAAAAATTATTCTTGTACAAAACATTTAGGACTTAGCATTTCACAGAATACAATTTGAAAAATGCTACTCTGGTTTATTGCATTAGTTAAAATCCTCCTTGTTTACAAGAACAGAAACCAAGCCAGCACTGGCTAGCTTAAGGAGAAAAAGTAATTTATTGAAAGAACAGGGGCTATTGTCTCAGACTCTCAAGACTTGAACAAACAAAACTCGAGAAAGGCAAGGACCAGAGTAGCTCTGAGAACTACAGGAGCAAATCTGTCTAAGCAGCTTCCTAACCATCTGTATCAAATATTGGGGCCATTTTTAAAAGATTTCAATGGAATTTTATGTAACGAAGTTACTTAACAGTTGCACAATAGTTTATAGAGTGCTTTACAATTACTTTACTCATTAAATATCATGGTATTTGTGGAAAATAAGTTAATAACTAAAGCAAGGAACTGTGGAGTAACTTTCTCAAGGTCACACAACCAGGTTTATGCTAAGCAAGGACTTCAGAGCTCCTGGTCCCACAATCTCAAGTTGCAGTTCCAGTGAAATGGTTCAGCTGCCTGTTAGCTCCCACCTCAGTGTGAGACAGGTGGGTGGGGAGAGGGGACTCGCCTGGACTTCTGGGGGTGGGTGGTAAAGGTGAAGTTTCCTGGTAGTAAATGTAGAAGTGCCAGTGGTTGCCACTGTGTTAGCATTTAGGCTGTGACATGAATCCCATCAGCATGTCAGTGCATGCCTATGTGGTATGAACACATATTTGCAATAGTGCCTAGTTTGAGATTTTCATATTATAACTCAAGTTGTAAATCTCAGCCTAGGCAGAATATTGAAATAGCTGGGAAGCTTTAAAATTAAGCCACTGCCTCAGGACCGATTAAATCCAAATCTTTGAGATTGGTGCCTGGGTATGGTTATTTTCAAAATCTTCCCAGGTTTTTGCAATATGTGGCCAGAGTTGAGACCCACTGGTATGAAGGATCCTTCCAGATCTGCTGCACATGGTATGGGCTGCAAGGTGTTCACTGCATAAGACACCTAATTTCAGGCCAGGGAGGACTGCCCACATACTGCCCACCAAGCAGTGTACTCTAGGGTGACATCTGTTCTGAAAACAGATGTCTTTTGTCTAACTTTCACAAAGAGAACTCTAGGTCATTCCACTATAGTTGAATATGCATTGCTGCATAGCCTATGTATTCCATTTTCAGATTTTTAAAATATATTAAAAATTATATTTAGCATCTACTATATGCTGGGCATTTGGTAAACACTGAGAATACAACTACAAAATAATCACAGCTCCTGTCCTTACAGAACCCATAGCCAATTAGGAATAACAAGTGGTGAAACAACAATATTGGAAATATTCTGATGGGGATAAGTGCAGAATGCTGGGGGAAGACACTGGACAAGCACCACCCAGTCCTGGGGCTCAGAGAGACCTCATGGTGGAAGAAGGTATAACAGAGGCCAGGTAAAAAAGAAAGGGTGTGGGACATTCAAGGCTAAGAGACAGCATTTGAAGAAGTCTGGCACTGAGCAAGACCATGGGCTATTGCGGAACTGACAATAGTTCAGCCTGGAGCATGGAAGGGAATGATGGGTAAGGAGGAGGTAGTGTGATTGGAGGTCTTACCAATCTTCCAAGGGCGATTGGCCACTTACAAGTGTAACTACTGTGTCCTGCCCCTCAGTCCTTCCTTCTCCCTTATTTCCGTCCTTTCTCCTTCCCTTCTCCTTTCCTTCTTCTTTTTAGATATTATCATTTATTAGAGCAGAAAACACCTAAATCATTTGTATCCCACTTCAAGGAATCTTTAACTTCAAGCACTGGAAAGGGACAAAAGGCTTGGGAGCAGACAAAGGACCAAAGAAGCATGGGGACACATGCTTTACTTGATGTCACCTGGCACAACCTCACAATTAGCAAATTCCACAGATTCCTCCTTGCTCACTACTCTTTTTTAATTGAGGTAAAATTCACATAACATAAAATTAATCATTAACCATTTAAAATGTAAAATTCAGTGCCATTTAGTATATTCACAATGTTGTGCAAACATTACCTCTAGTAGTTTGAGATATTTTTATCACTCCCAAAATTCCATACCCATTAAGCAGCCACTCTCTATTCCCCCTCCACCCAACTACTTTATAGAGTCTGCTTTCAGTCTCTATAAACTTGCCTATTCTGAATATTTTATATACTTGAATCATACAATATGTGACCTTTTGTATCTGTAACATCTTTCACCTAGTGTAATGTTTTCAAGGTTTATTGATGTAGCACATTTTAGTATTTCTTTTTGCGGCAGACTAATATTCCATTGTATGAAGATGTGACTTTTAGTTATCCATTCATCAGTCGATAGACATTTGTCTTATTTCCACCTTTTGGCTATTGTGAATAGCACTGCTAAAAACATTCATCTACAAGTATCTCTTTGGACACCTGTTTTCAGTTCTTTTGGATACATGCCTAGGAGTGGAATTGCTGAGTCATATGGTAATTCTATATTTAACTTATTGACAAACTGCCAAACTGTTTTCCCACAGCAGCTACAGCATTCTGCATTCCCATCAACAATGTACAAGAGTTCCAGTTTCTCCATATCCTCACCAATACTTGTTATATCTGACTTTTTGATTCTAGCTATCCTAGTGATTGTAAAGTGGTATCTTGTTGTAGTTTCAATTTGCATTTCATTAATGGCTAATGATATTGAGCATTTTTTTTTTGCCTCCAAATATTCCTTTTTTCCTTATTTATTTATTTGTTTATTTATTTTAATTAAGTTTATTGGGGTAACATTGGTTTAAACAATTATATAATTTTCAGGCATACAT